AGCTAGTAGTAACAAGTGCCTTACTAGTAGTAACAAGAAGCTAGTAGAAACCATATATATTTTATAATTTGAACAGCAATCTGGGATTGCCAAACCTGATAAGCCTTGGATAGAGTAGCGATGCACTTGTTCCTAGTAGCTTCTGGCTACTAGTAACAAACAAGACCGTGTTTATCATCACTAACGAGATGTTGAGTCACCTGTAGCCATAGGCTCAAAGGAAGGCAGGGCACCATCCATGGCGCCAAATCGGAGCTCGGGGAAGTTCTGTCGCCATGATTGAATTCGTTTTGCTTCGAACACGAACGAATCCCTGAAATCAGATGCGATCCACATCTCTCCGAAACACAAAACATGCACCATGTTCCTCTTGATATTCTACTAGGGGCTCCTGGCATCGCTACTAATAGTATCGAACCCTCCGCTGCGACGAGGCAATGAGAAGAGGCGCCCCGGACATGGGGATGATTATCGCCTAATGGGATTCGTTGGATTCCTGGCCATACTACTAGGAGCAAGGACGCTACTAGGGGCTCCTGGCCATACTACTAGGAGCAAGGATGCTCCGGGATTCGATGGATGCCCAAAGCCACTTTGCCAAAATGCTGAGTTGGCAGTACTACCATGCCCGTTCCGGAGCATAATCCGGTTCAGCGTGTTCCTGACATCCTGACACCTGGTGTCTTCCAATAATCCAATAAGTAAATTAAACATCTTGGACATCTCCGATGCTCCCGAAGGCACTGTTGATACTTTCTGAGTCTCCCCAACGTTGCATGTGTTGGAAGAGGGCCATGGCTTGGTGCCATTCCTCCCCAGAGCAGATGGCCTTGGCGCTGAGGCGGAGCTTCGTCTGCCCAGCGCCAGGCTTTGGGTGACAATCGCCCGAAAAGCAACAACGGCAGGGCATATCAATTTGTTGGACGGCAAACATCGCTGACCAAGACCTACAAAGAAGTAATTGGAGCAAGGCCAAAGCAAGCAGCAGTTTTTCTCATTTGATTCGACCAGAACACACTGGACAAAAAGAAAGGGCCTGGAGTCTGGAAGAGAACATCCAAAAAATGATGGCATGCCTTTTCTCGCACCTGTCCATCACCGATGCCCATGAAGCATAGCGAATCCAACAAAGTCAGTACTAGAGGAGCAGCCACTGCTTCTGCTTCTCCTTGTCAGATTGGTCAGAGGAAGCCTCTTTTTCCACTCGGACACAAACTTTGTAGATCAGCTTTAGAACTCTTTGAATCTCAGGTGTCAACTTCTGTGCCTTCTCAGCATCCTTTGTCAATCTCTTGGCCGCAATTGCCACCTTTCTCAGGGAGTAACCCTTCTCACCTTTTCTCACCAGCTTGGCTACACGTGAAGAAAGTTTGGCCATTCTTGCCGCCTCACTTGCAAGGACCATTGGCGTGAGGTCACAAATCACCATGACCGCATGAAAACAATAGTCCCGAACCCGCCCATCCTGCCAAGCACGGACTGCATCTTTGGCAGGGCCAACCACTGGAGCGAAGCTAATAAGCTCATCTAAAACAGCCTGGGCTATATTCATAACCTTCTCCTCCAACTCATCATCCTCCTCATCCTCATCCTCATCGTCATCCTCGTCCTCATCTTCCTCTTCATCCTTCAGATTCAATCCTGTGGCGTGCAAGAAAACCCGTGCACGCAACACATGCTGCCCTGGGGCAACTCGCCAAAGACTGGCACAAACAACGCTGACTGTTACCGCACTCAAACAGCCAGCACAGTGGTACGGGCTGACACCGTGGTCTGCAGTCTGAGTTGGCATCAACCTTGGCATCGACCCCCATGGCGCATGTCCATGGCATCGCATCAGACGTGGCATCATGGTGCACAGGAATTGCCAAGACACGACGCCGAGAAATGTCATGCAAACGCACCTTGTGTTAAAGAACCTCGAAACACTGCAAGGGCCTATCAAGTTGGAAGAACGGTGAGTGCTTTTCAAATACCTTGCCTACTACACCGTCATTCGGTATGCCGCATTGGGCTAACGAATTCCCGATAGCACACATCAGTATACCTGGTTACCTACCCCGTGCCTCTACTCTTGCATCTTCCTTGGGCCATTTGGCTGTGTCTGATGTATCTGTCGATTGGTTGAGTTGCAGTGTCCCGATTTTGGTTGCCTTGATAAGGTCGCTCAAAGGAGTTTGAATCGTTAAGTTTCGAGAGTAAAACAAGTGACAAAAAAGTGTACCCTTTAATTAGTAAGGGCCATTATTGCGGGACCACTGCAATCTGTTTGTCCTCGCTGTTGTGCTCCCCTTGAATTTCCAGAGTGCTACCAACCCAATGTGACTTCTCGCAAGGTTAACTTGGCTTCTTAAACACCAAAAGGCCAATTGCATCCAATTGCATTCCCAGGCTGGTCAGAGAAGAAAAACTCCTGCAGTTTAGCGACCGTGATGGCAGCAGCGTAGGTCATCTCGTCAATGTCCTACAATGCTTGATGGAGATGCTTAGCTGAGATCCAGAAGAAAACCTTTGAGCCTTTGGAGGTCGCTGAACAAGTGCCTGCAGCATCTTCAACCGAAGACGTCTGACTTTCAGATAAAAATTGCATGTGCTAGCAATACATCCTGCACATGCATCTGCTCTGGCCACAGGATCCTACGAGCCTCAACCCCAGCGTTTCCACACCTTGTCAGAGGCCTCAAGATCTTCAAGCCTCGAATGTGAACCCGAAGCTACGATCCTCGATCTGGTTCAGAACTGGAGGATCGGTCTGAACAGAAATAAAAAATACTAATCGTCGGTCTTTTGCGGTTTGACTTGATAGCTTCTTTTCTTGTCAGCTCCGCTGCTCATTGGCTGGTTCGGAAACTGGTCTTGACCCCAGAATTGTCAAACCCTTTCCATCAAACGACCACCCGTCAAGCTCAGGAGTTATTTCTCAAACCTAGTGGCAATAGCCTCCAACCTACTAGCGATGGCCTCCAACCACGATGGCCTCCAACCTACTAGCGATAGCCTCCAACCTAGTAGCGATGGACTCCAACCTAGTAGCGATGGACTCCAACCTAGTAGCGATGGCCTCCAACCTAGTAGCGATGCTGTCGTGTGTATAGAATTTCAATAGTTCTTAAGGATCTTCAGATACAATAGGCCTTGGAAGCACGGAGAAGCACCATCAAATTGAGGCTATCAGGCAACAAGCAAGCTACCTGCTGATGGTTTCCTCAAACATCAGCAATTTTCGCACATCGACGTGGTCGTCCGACCAGAATGGCTCAAACACACAAATTTGGAGTCCTGAAGTGCCAACCGGCTACTAGTAGCTCCTGGCCTTACTAGTAACAAGGACGCTACTAGGGGCTCCTGGCCGTACTAGGAACAAGAAACTACTAGTAACAAGAACCTACTAGGGGCTCCGGACAAGTCTCGTCGCTAAGAGCCCGGGCACGTCGAGAGCCATCTGCCACTCTTGCGCCGATGCGCAGCTTTTCATGTAGCTCCGGGCCAGCGCCACATCCGCAGAACTTAGCAAAAGCCAGTCTGACAGAGATCAGGGAGATGGTCTGGATTGCTCCATCAAACTGCAAGATTGATGGAAACAGTTCTGCTTTAGATATCAATAATTTGTTTAAGTCATGTTGATGTCTAGTTTATGTATCTTTGTGTATATGTTTATGTATACTTATGTCACGCTCGTGTCCAAGGCTTCAGGCACTTTGGGCGCCAAGATTCGATCGTCTCGCCGTCTCGCCGTTTCGCGTTCCGCCTTCCGAAATGATCCTCCCGCAGTGCGAGATCTTCATGTCCCCTTCGTGTCTACTTACACTCTTTGTCACTGTTTTCTCGGAAAGGATGGCTAATTACTAGCAATGTTCGCTACTAGTAACACGTGCATCGCTACTAGGAGCAAGGACGCTACTAGGGGCTCCTGGCCATACTACTAGTAGCAAGAAGCTACTAGTAACAATGAATTTCAATTCAGCAAATTTACCAAGCGAGGCTGAACGTGAGCCAACTTTGGGCTCCTGTCAGATCGGCCGGGCTAAGAGGCCTCGATTGAAATGGGCAAGACAAACAACAGTGAGTTGATACATGTTTGCCCGCTCCTACTTAATCAAGTAGGCGCCTACTTAAATAAGTAAGGCAACTAGTTCAGTCAGCTTCTAGACATGGACACAGGATAGCTCATGCTTCTTCAAGGAAGCACTCACACTAATGATTTGGTTCCTAGATTCATAGGGACACTTAGATATTAGCTGATCTTCTCATTGTTGACTATGCTCCAACATCCAAAAACACTCTTCCAAGTTCAAACTTGGACGTACTACAACCACCATCAGCTCTTTAGGAAGACAGATGTTCTTCTATGTGGGTTCGTGACATTGTGCTTTCCACTGGATCTCTCCAAACATTTGTGGAAATCTATCCTGCACGGCGGCTCACCCCTCAATCTCGCGCAGTCGCAGGAACCAGCTGAATGTCCTTGCCCGACAGACACTACTTTGAGATCCAAACTGTTCAGCATCAAAGTCTCAATGTATGTATGCTTCCCATATTTTGCCCCACCATGTTATTCTAGGCCAAAATAGTTGTTGAGAGCCATGTCGTAAAACAAACAAATGAAGTCAGCAATGCAGGGCAAAACGAATGCAGTGTAATGCAGTCAGCGCATGTTCCAGGCAAGGAATCCTCCCTTTTCAAGAATGCGATGCACTTGTTACTAGTAGCTTCTTGCTACTAGCAGCGATGCCCTGGTTACTAGTATGGAGGGGGGGTCCCACCTACCCAGGTCCGTGGGGTTTCAAGAACTGCCACACTTGGAGGAAGTCCCAGCGTTCAACCTAATTACAATGGCCTCCAACCTACTTGCGATGCCCTCGTGCGTTCTCTAAGTGTCATGAAACATACAAAACCGTGTTGCGATTCCGAAAACTGACTAGTTTTCTTGGCTTCTGGGTTTCGCGTACAACTGTTACTTGACTAGCTCCTTTGTTTGTCTAGTTCCTTCGGTGTGTTTTACTTTCTACTTCAGACGGAAAGTGTCCGTTTTCAGCATGCTGCTCAGCAGCCCAGGTAAAGCGTCGATGAGTTCCTCCACGGTGACTTCTTCGCTTTCGGCCAAGGATTTCAACATCGCTCCCAATTCCTTCCTCAGGACGCGCATCAGTCTTGTTTACAGCGATGGCCTCCAACCTACTAGCGGCCTCCAACCTATATAGCAAAAAAGAAGGGAAAAGGAAATGAAAAGAACGGTCTGAACATGTCTAAGCGACAAGTGTCGCTACACACTCAAGAACCAAATCTATCCTGCGAAGACCTCAAGGAAGGCCCTCACGTCATCAAGCAGGGGTTGTTTAGTTGGGTCCTCAGGCAAAGGTGGTTTCCTTTTAGGAACTATTCGCCCTTCTGCCTGTGCAGTACTACGATAGTTTACCTCTCTACTCCCAGCCTTTACAGCCGAAGAAACATCAAGAACGCTACAAGGGGCTCCTGGCCTTACTACTAGGAGCATTCTTGCTACTAGTAACAAAGTGCATCGCTACTAGGAGCAAGGACGTTACTACAGGCTCCTGGCCGTACTACTAGGAGCAAGAAGCTACTAGGAGCAAAGGGCATTTCTACTAGGAACAGATAGCTTACTCCCAGACTCCCAGCCTTCTCGGCCTAAGAACATCAGAAAAAAAATGACCAGCCAGTCTGTTGTCAGTTTGTTCGCCGTCAGTTCTCTTGGACTTTAAAGTGATGTCCACAAATCCCCAAGACAAGTTTTTTAAAATTTCCCAAACATTTCAGAAACATCTAGGAAGCAAAGGAATATTGCGAGCGCTCCTGCGTCCAGTAGGTGGTAGCTACAAGCCTACATTTACTTGGTAAGCTATCCTGCCCAAAATTAAGTAGGCGCCGACTCAATAAAGCAAGGTCGGGCAAAAAGAAATGAGCGAACGGTTGCGGAGCTGATCGTCTGCCCTCATATTTGCCGAGCGAAAAGGGTGAGTCATGGTGAATCTGCGCAAAATCAGCACATCTTGAGCACATGTGCAGAATGTGAGCTCATGTGCTGATGTGCTGATGCTTGGGCTCTCCTGTGCCTACGTGCAAGGATGGAGACCCATGTCTTCTCGTGACATACTATCTCGCTATATCTCAGTTCCAGTGACAGCGCATCACGGCTTCATGAGCTGAACCCACTTGGAAGGTGCGCAAGCTCTCTGACCATGGAAGTGTGGGGGGCCCAACAAAAAGGTCAGTGGAACACATCTCGCGGCCCAACTTCACAGCGCTTGCAGTTTCAACAACGGGTCACGCGACCAGTGCTTTTCTGCCGTCTCGGGAAAAAGTGCAAAGCACAATTTAAAAATGCGACCACTTTTTATTCATGCACGCACTCTGACCTGAGAAGCTGCAAAACGAAAGCCAGCGCTTCCCTTTCTCGAGAACTGCGCGTCGAAGCATAGGATAGAAAGGTAGGTCTGCA